AAATAAAAACTTTATTTTTAAAATAAATACGCTAGAAAAAGACTTTACATTGTTGACACATCAAAAATTTAATACACTCAATTTTTAAGTTACTACATGTATTACAGTTAACTTTTAGGTTGCACTAAGTACTGAATCCACCAATTTGGATCCCTTATTAGTATCCATATATCCATAAATTTTAAATCTACTGAATAGATCCCTTAGTATTCAGTAGATTTAAAATTCGAACAATTTACTTCAAAGTGCAGTCTCATTACTAAGTCAGCTTTTATTAAATCAAAAGCAGCTGTGATGTGAAGAGAAGCTGTTTGTCTGGAGATTTTGAGTTTTGTCGGGAGTCTGGAGATTATTTAAAAGTCGGGAGAATCCAGAAGAATCCCGACCATCTGGCAACCCTAGTTTAGTACCATAAACCTCAGTAGGTCGATATGTATTAAAATATATTTCCATTGTTTTAGGTAGTCGGATGGTGTGAATAGATTATTGGTACTCATATAGTATTTCATACTCAAACAAACTAATTCGTGAGTAGATTTGATATTCTGAAAAAAAAAAACTTCAATAAATATTTCTTAAATTTACGCAAATACCCATTAATTTTACGGCATACATAAAGTCCACATTACGTACTGCATAGCACTCGAACGGAATAAGATAAAATAAACTCAATGAAATTAGTTTGATTTTTAATATTAAAACCTTCAAATAAAATCACAAAGCCCTTAGTAACGAACATATTTATGCTCGGGTTACGTAAAAGTTAAATATCTCTTGTATTAATTACACTTTTCGTAAAAATACTTAAAAACTTTTTATTTGAGACGGAAGCCAGAAAATATCTTTCTAGAATATTAAATTAAATTTCCCGACAAGAATGCTTAACAATGAAATAGTTTTTAATTGGAATTTCTCTCAAGGATTTAAATAGTGCACTTAAGCTTAGAAACGTATAGTTAAATTATAAAATTATTATTATCGTATTCCCTTTGATTTAATATTTTTAATAGGTACTCTTGTTTATTCTTATTTTATTATATACCACTCACATTACTTGCTGTTAATCCTTTTTACATTGTAGTCTTAGTTTTAGATTTGAACGTTTGAAATTTTTTGTTTAATCTTAAATTTCATATATGTACGTTCATTTCGAGTAAAGAAATGTATTATTTTTTCTTTCTTTCCTTTGCATAATTGGTGGCTTAAGCTTCTGGTGCAGAATCAGTTGTCACGTATGCCAGTATTAACATTTGAGTTTGTAAAAAAAAAAAACTTAACATAATATTTCTCTCAAATCGAATTGAAAGTTATACTTGGAATAAGTCTGAATCGAAAAGATACACAGACAGGCTGACTCGAAGTTGCCTAAGATCAGAATCCTTGTTTTGGTACGATCAAATTATCCAGGCACACAATTCAAAATAACAAGAAACCACATGCCATTGAACTATAAGTTTAAAGTTAGTTTGTAGTCTTTGAAAATATTATATTTTGACGTTGTAGACTTAAGTTGTAGATGTAAGTTGTAAATATGTTGAAATTTTAACGTTAAAGTTTCTTTTATATTCTCGTTGAGATTTTATCATGAAAAATCGCAACAATCCTATTAAGTGGGCGTGACTAAGAAGAAATATATTAAACTCGCTGCTTTGTAAAGGGCGGGACTCGCACCCATATATCTCAGAAGCGCACTGATAGGAGCAACACATAACTAAAAAATGTAGGTCTATAAAACTGGCAAGTAACTAAAGTAAAGTACTACACGTATTGCTCCTATAAATTAATAATGTTGCTAAACCACCTTAAAGTTGACATCAAATCGAATCATTCAAATGTTTTTCTTTATCATAATAACATGGAAACTATTTACATGTAGTTTTGATGTTAATTTTATGTTTCATAATAAATTACTTTATTTAATCTTAGTCTGAGGTGGAATAAGGAGCAGTAAGCAGTGATAATGTCTTCCAGACCGAATTTCTCTCACGGGGGCTAGTCTCAACATGAAAAGCCATATAGACAAGACAGGATTAAGTGCCCTAGTGCATGCGCAAGCACAGGTGCACTCTCTTTTCCCTCACCTTCATAGTTTAAGGGGTCGACCATCCGACAAAACCGGAGAGAGTTAAGGCGCAAGACCAACGTTTTTAAATACTTTCCAAGGCACGGTGATGAAACACTTCCAACTCTGTGAATCAACTGCTACTGTTTACTACATTTCTGGATAGAAAAACCCAGAACCTAGTTTAGCCTGATAAAGGATTCAATCCCGGACCCCAATACCAGCAGTCGCAGTTACGACCAGAAGATAAACATCACAGCGACCGAGTGAAGCCGGCCCAGACGAGCGTGTTCCTACTGTACGTGGCGCTCACTAATAGGCCGTAATAACTCTTTCCTGATATTATATTTCCTGAGAAATCCTATGCAAAATATATGTTTGAAAAATATGTCAATATTCGATTTGTTAAACAAAATTTTCACTGAATAAATATTTTTCTAAGGTTGATAAAAACTTTTTAAAATTGATCTATAGAAATATCAACACCGTGATTTGAAAATTTTCGACAAACAAAATTTGGCAAATGTCTACTAGACCGTGTAATTCTAACTATGACATATACTTTAGTATTCTGTAAATACTATTTTATTTATTAAAATAAGTAAAGTAAAGTATAAAATAAAGTATTCAGCCTATATACGTCCCACTCCTAGGCACAGGCCTCCTCACACTTCTGCGCTGCCCCAATGCATGTTGGCGAACTTCACATGTCTTCGCAATATTTTTTTTCTTATTTCTCAGACATGCAGGTTTCCTTACGATGTTGTCCTTCACCGTAGAGCACGTGGTAAATCAGCACTTAAAATTGTAGTTAACAATTTAATTGGTGCCGGTGGGGATTGAACCTGGTTTGCTCGCGTATTGTGAAATTTACAGCGAGCGCTAACCATCTGAGCTACCACGGCTCCTACTCATTAGAAGAAGTTGTTAATAATAATCTTAATAGGCCAATAATAATTTTTCAGGTCAATTCATTTCAAAGGCAACTAATAATAAAGAAATATTAATTTAAAGAATTATACGAATATATATCATCATATATCAATAATTGTGCATACAAACGAATGTATAGAACAAGTTATAAATAAACATATCTAGGCTTACTTATAGACAACTGATTTAACTGGGGTCTTCATATAGAATTTTCAAGAAGGTTCCTTGTAAATTCACGTTTCATGACGGGCAAATACGGAATCCTACCTTGACATTATGCGTGGCCTGACATACACTTGGCTAATTTTTTAAACATAAATGACACCACAGTATGTACGTGGCTCCCTTGCAAAGCCAGGGCGGGTTGCTGGTTTTAGTATAACGTACATTATCTACTAAATACTGTGAAGCATTAAGTCTGCCCTTTGGAACCCCTAGTTGAAGGGGTCCTGCAAAAAAGGACAAATAAAAATAAATAAAATACTTCATTTATCATGAGGAGGATATTATATTGACCAGATAGACACATCTGTTTGAAGCCAAAATATTTTTATCAAAGACTGCTTGGCATAAAATATAGAAATTTTAATTAAAATCCATAGTAAACTGTAAAACCCCGCTATTTACTTTAATTTTCTTTGAAATAAATGTATCTTTCGCTCTGTTTGAAATAATAAAGCTTAAGAACTTTTTCACTTCAACTTATATTTCTCCAAAGAATATAAAATAGACAGTTAGTTCGGCGTGAGCAAGACTAAAGAGAGAAATAAATTTTTGTACTGTCTTATTTATTAAGATTTTTTATATATAAGTAAAAAAGGTAAGTATCATTATATTATTTTTGTTGAAATTTTGGCATCAGCAAACTGTCATTGACGCTACTCCTGTCACCATTCTTGAGAATTTAAATATAATGTTATAAGATAATGGTAATACTATCATCTATGTAGAGACTTGAGATTATTCTAATATTTCTCATAGTCATAGCCGCTGCTGGAGACTCCCACCGGATAAAACTTAGTGATGACTCTACTACCGTTGCCACCAAACATTGAATCGTATGAGAATTTTAACATCTGCTGTGTTATATTCCTGATAAATAACACGTCCACTTGTATGTCCACATATAATCTTTGCATAGTGTGATGAAGACGTGGTGTTGTACCACTCGCTCTTGAATGGATGTATGCTGTCAGCGTGAGACGTCGCGAGCGTATTATTTACCGCTACTGCCGACCGATACTTGATACTCGAGAAAAGTAAATTTGTCTCAAATATTGCTTTATAAAAAAATATTTTGCAGTAACAAGTGGTTAACTTTTTAATTGGTTGAGAGATGTCTGAAAACCAAGCTTAATTCAATTGACTAACCTGAGTCTATTTGGGCGATTAATGACCCTGTTAAGTTGTAGAATTGCTTACTTCATTTTATTTTGTAGTTTGACTATGTCAACAGCCATACCGTAGCCGTAGCTCAAAGATTGGGTGCGGTGCAACTGTGGTGTTGGTAGGTGTCGTCGTTGAGATGTAACGGGGCTCACTGAGCATAGAGATTAGTGCTCGTAAAATAAAATGAAGTGCAGTATGCATTTGTTGCGTAATGAACGATTAAAAAGGGTTATGGCTCTTGGAAATTTTATTTTGTGTTAATCAGTAAAGTTTCCTTTAAATTGATCTAGTTGAAGAGGAATTAAATATTGAAGAAATTGTCAAAAGTATTTCCAAGCGTTCATACTCTTAGTATTTTCTAAATGTTTACCTAAATAATAATAATAATAATAATAATAAATAGGCGTAGGGAAGTGACGACCCCATCGCCCGCTGACGTAACAGTTATGTGACAAAACTGCGACGTCGGCGCAGTCAGTCAGCATCCTGCCAAGAGGTGTGAGCGCCGTGCCTAGGCAAAATTGTAGATGCAAAGGTCCGTTTGTGCATATGACCCAACCACGAAACGGTGCCGGGCTTGGGCGTCTCCCGTTATTTGGCGCCCATAAAATGGATGATGGAAGAAACACAAAAAGGAACGCGCATAGGGCCGCTGCCTGGGGGTCGCCGGGGCGCGTCTGGAGCTGGCGCTGGACGCGGCAGCATGCGGGCCGCCAGCCGAGCGCGAGGAGCTGCACGATCACCTAGCAGCCCCTCGCATCCATCATCCCCACCAGAAGGCTTGGTGTCGGCTGGGTCTTCTCGGACCCAGCAAGCGGCACCCGCCGCTGGTGGAGCACGTCGCATGCGTTGGACAAAATCCATGAACGAAAACGCATTGCGGGCGTACTATAGGGCGAAAGGGGAAGAAACTGTGGGAATAGCGTATAGGTCTCGGATGCATTGCTTTTTTGCTGAGCTGGAGCCGTCTATCCCCGTCACGGAACAAAACCTGGCAGACCGAGTTCGGTACATCATGCGCTCGAAAATATTTGATGATGCCGAACTCGAACGACTACGACGTGAGGCTATTCCGTCGTCGAATGAATCGGCTATGGCTGGAGATGCAGCTCCACATTCGACAGACCAGCATCCACACGTGGAAGCCGCCATGGATCTTCCAGTTGTGGTTGATTCGAACGACGATGAAATAGTCTCCCACGAACTAGAGCAAATGAGGAGTATATTGGAAGAGGCGATTTTGGAAACGCGCAGCACCCCTCTCGAAAATCGACCGCGACTTCCCCCGCATACCCTTAAGCAAGCGAAATCGGGCTGTCGTGAGGGCTCTTAACCCAATGCTGGTGACCTATTTGGAAGCCAGCCGGGACCTTTGCGAGACGGACTCGATTCTCTTTGGCGCCGCAGTGGCAGTTTGCCGTATTATTGGCGCCAAACTTCCCATGGCTGGACGCGCTACTACACAAAGTAACGCCATCCCAGCCTGGAGGAAAAGAATCGAGGACCGTATCGCAAAGACAAGGGCCCTTATCGGCAGACTGACAAGCTTCAGGTCGGGTAATAATAGACCGAGGATTATGCGCACAGTTAGGATGGCGTTTGCTGGGACAAATATCAGTTTGTCCCAGCCGGATATCACGCAGAAACTAACGGAGCGCATAGACGACCTGAAGCAAAAGATCGCTGCTTGGGGGAAGCGGATTCGACGATTTTCCGAGGGGTCAAGGCGGTTCAACCAGAATCGTCTCTTCCAGAGTGATCAGAAGAGGCTCTATAAATTATTGGAGCGACCAAAGGTATGTGGAGCGGGCCAAGGACCGGATCAGGCTGACATTATCGCATTCTGGCGTGGCCTGTGGTCAGAGCCCGTAAACCACAGTGAGGGCCCTTGGATGGAAGTTGTGGCGAGCCAGGGTGCGAGTGTTACGCCTATGGACCCCATCACCATAACGCCAGAAGACGTGGCTGAGGCGGTCCGTAGGGCCCCGAACTGGAAAAGTCCGGGGCTCGACGGGCTGCATCATTACTGGCTGAAGGGGTTCGTAGTGTGTCACGCTGTGCTCGCCCGACAGTTTCAAGAGGCTCTCGACCAGAAGTCACTCCCGAGCCTCTTCACTACTGGGATCACTCACTTGGTTCCTAAAGATCAGGATACCACAGACCCGAGCAAATACCGCCCCATCACGTGTCTACCCACCATATATAAGACACTGACATCTATTTTGAGCGCGAGAATCACTCGTCACCTGGAGCTAAACCAGGTGATGTCACGCGCTCAAAATGGATGTCGGGGCGGTGGTCGTGGAACTAAGGAACCACTCCTCATTGACGCGGTCATAGGCAAAGTGGTGAAACGCAACCGTCGGAACTTCTCTGCCGCCTGGATAGACTACAGAAAGGCGTTCGACTCGGTGCCCCATACATGGCTAAAGAGGGTCCTCGAGCTGTACAAGATTGACTGTACAGTTAGAAACTTCCTCGAGCAGTGTATGGGGCAGTGGAGTACGATCCTTTGTCATCTGGGCGAGCGGATGACGGCTGCGGAGAACCACATAAGGATAAGAAGGGGTATCTTCCAGGGCGATTGTCTGAGTCCAATCTGGTTCTGCCTCTCTCTTAACCCTCTCAGTACCTTACTGGAGGGCTCCGGGAGGGGATTTCAGCTACGGAAAGGAGGGACAAAAATGACCCACCTTTTCTATATGGATGACCTCAAGTTATTCGCCTCCAGTCGCTCCCATCTTATGGAACTGCTAAACATCACTTGTGAATTTAGCAGTTCCATTGGAATGGAGCTGGGGACGGATAAGTGTGCGGTCCTCCATGTTGAAAGGGGAAGGGTTGCTAACTCTGAGGGCATAGACTTGTCTATGCCCGTCAACTTAAGGACCCTTTCCGAGGCTGAAACATACCGATACCTGGGTATGTCACAGAACATCGGTATCGATGAGGCTGGTATGAAACAGTCAGTTTGCGACGTGTTTTATGCACGCTTGACCAAAGTGCTTAACAGCCTTTTGTCCGGTGTGAATAAGACACACGCATATAACGGCTGGGTCATGCCTGTCCTCATGTATACCTTTGGCATACTCAGGTGGACTCAGACTGAGCTTAACGCCCTGGATAGAAAAGTCCGCACTACCATGACGTCCCATAGGATGCATCATCCGAGATCGTCGGTAATGAGGCTGTACTTGCCGCGGAAGTATGGTGGGCGTGGCTTTCTGAGCGCGCTCACCATGCATAATCGCGAAGTGTGCAGTCTCCGTCAGTACTTCTTGGCGAGATCGGATGATCCATTCTATAATGACGTCATTTCTAGTGATAAAGGGCTTACCCCTCTATCCTTAGCCAACGAGCAATGGCAGGACCCAGCAGTGCTTAGCAATTCCGACCGGGAGACCGTATGGAAGGAGAAGGAGCTCCACGGGAGGTACTACAAGGCTCTACATGAGCCCTTCGTAGATACAGTCGCCTCCCTCAACTGGCTACGTTTCGGTGACCTCTTCGGGGAAACCGAGGGTTTTGTCTGTGCAATACAGGATCAGGTTATTAAGACCAACAACTATCGGAGATACATCCTAAAGGATGGCACCGTCGACGTCTGTCGAGCTTGTCGCCATCCCGGGGAGTCACTTAGGCATGTCATCTCCGGTTGTTCGGCGCTTTCTAACTCTGAGTACTTGCACAGGCACAACCTAGTAGCCAGAATTCTACACCAGGAGCTCGCTCTGAAATACGGTCTCGTGGACCGGAAATTGCCGTATTACAAGTACTTGCCGGAAGCCGTGCTCGAAAATGACCGCGCCAGACTCTACTGGGACCGGGCCATCATCACAGACAGGACTATTCTTGCGAATAAGCCTGATATTGTGCTGATGGACCGGGCACAGTCAAGGATATTTTTGGTCGATATTACCATCCCGTATGACGAGAACCTCGTGAGAGCCGAAACAGATAAGCAATCAAAATATCTGGACCTGGCTCACGAGGTGACGGACATGTGGGGTGGTCTGCCGGCCGAAATTATTCCTGTAGTCGTCTCTGCGAATGGGCTAATCCCAGTAAGCCTCTCTGGTCATCTGAGGCGACTGGGACTCCGTGACGGACCGCTCCGGGCTCAAATGCAGAAGGCGGTGCTCCTTGATACTGCCCGCATCGTCCGCCGGTTTCTTTCCCTTTCTTCCTAACCCTTGGCCGTTTGGTCTCCCCTGCCGAGGGCTTCCATCTGGTTGGGCTTTTATTTATTTATGTATTTTTGTATTTATTTTATTTTATTGATATTTATGTATATTTATCCTTTCATTTTCGTTTATAATTATATATTTATACATCCCAACCAGATGAGAAAACTATATAGATACCCCACACATAAAAATAACAATAATGAATATGGCGTAGGGAATTGACGACCCCATCGCCCGCTGACGTAACAGTTAAGTGACAAAACTGCTACGTCAACGCAGTCAGTCAGCGCCTTGCGAAAGGTGTGAGCGCCGTGCCTCGGCAGAATTTAGGGTGCAGAGGCCCGTTTGTGCTTATGGATACACACGAAACGGTGCCGGGCCTGGGCGTCTCCCGTTAATGGACGCCCAAATAATGGATGATGGATAAGAAGATAGTGCGCAAAGGGCCGCTGCCTGGGGGTCGCCGGGGCGCGTCTGGAGCTGGCGCTGGACGCGGCAGCATGCGGGTCGCCAGCCGAGCGCGAGGAGCTGCACGGTCACCTAGCAGCCCTCCGCATCCATCATCCCCACCAGAAGGCTTGGTGTCGGCTGGGTCTTCTCGGGCTCAGCAAGCGGCACCCGCCGCTGGTGGAGCACGTCGCATGCGTTGGTCACAAGCAATGAATGCAAACGCATTGCGGGCGTACTTTAGGGCAAAAGGGGAAGAAACTGGATGTTTGGCGTATCGGGCTAGGATGCATCGTCTTTTTGCTGAGCTGGAGCCATCTTTAGCCGTCACAGAGCAAAACCTGGCAGACCGAGTTCGGTATATCTTGCGCTCAAATATATTTGATGTCGCCGAACTCGAACGGCTACGACGTGAGGCTGTTCCCTCGTCGGATGAGAATGCTACGGCTGAGGATGCGGCGCCACAAATGGTAGAGCAACCCGCAAACGTGGATGCCGCCGTGAATACCCCAGTTGTGGTTGATTCAAACGATGATGGAACAGTCGCCCAGGAACTGGAATTAGAGCATATGAGGAGTACATTGGAAGAGGCGATTGTGGAAACGCGCAGTACGCCTCTCGAAAATCGACCGCGACTTCCCCCGCATAGCCCTAAGCAAGCGGAATCGGGCTGTCGTGAGGGCTCTGAACCCAATGCTGGTGACCTATTTGGAAGCCAGCCGGGACCTTTGCGAGACGGACTCAATTCTTTTTAGCGCCGCGCTGGCAACCTGTCGTATCATAGGCGCCAAGGTTTCCACGGCTGGACGCGCTACTGGCCATAGTAGCGCTATCCCAGCATGGAGAAGAAGAATTGAGGAACGTATCGCAAAGGCTAGAGCTCTCATCGGCAGACTGATATGCTTCAGATCAGGCAACAGCAGGCCAAGAATTGTGCGCACCGTCAGGATGGCGTTTGCTGGGACAAATGTCAGTTTGTCCCAGCCGGATATAACGCAAAAACTGACGGAGCGCATAGATGATCTGAAGCAGAGAATCGCTGCTTGGGGAAAGCGGATTCGGCGATATACCGAGAGGTCGACACGGTTCAACCAGAATCGTCTCTTCCAGAGTGATCAGAAGAGGCTCTATGAATCATTGGAGCGACCAATGGTAAGTGGAACGGGTCCAGCACCGAATCAGGCCGACACTGTAGCATTCTGGCGCGGCCTGTGGTCAGAGCCCGTAAACCACAGCGAGGGCCCTTGGACGGAAGTTGTGGCGAGTCAGTGTGCGGGTATTACGCCCATGGACCCCGTCATCATAACGCCGGATGACGTAGCTGAGGCGGTCCGTAGGGCCCCGAACTGGAAAAGTCCGGGGCTTGACGGGCTGCATCACTACTGGCTGAAGGGGTTCATGGTGTGTCACTCTGTGCTCGCCCGACAGTTTCAAAAGGCTCTCAACCAGAAGTCGCTCCCAAGCCTCTTCACTACTGGGATCACTCATTTGGTTCCTAAAGACCAGGGTACCACAGACCCGAGCAAATACCGCCCCATCACGTGTCTACCGACCATATACAAGACACTAACATCCATTTTGAGCGCGAGAATCGCTCGTCACCTGGACTCAAATGAGGTGATGTCGCGTGCTCAAAATGGATGTCGGGGCGGTGGTCGTGGAACCAAGGAACCACTCCTCATTGACGCGGTCATTGGCAAAGTGGTGAAACGCAACCGTCGGAACTTCTCCGCCGCCTGGATAGACTACAGAAAGGCATTCGACTCGGTGCCCCATACATGGCTAAAGAGAGTCCTCGAGCTGTACAAGATAGACTGTACAGTTAGAGACTTCCTCGAGCAGTGTATGGGGCAGTGGAGTACGATCCTTTGTCATCTGGGCGAGCGGATGATGGCTGCGGAGAACCACATAAGGATAAGAAGGGGTATCTTCCAGGGCGATTGTCTGAGTCCAATCTGGTTCTGCCTCTCTCTGATCCCTCTCAGTACCTTACTGGAGGGCTCCGGGAGGGGGATTTCAGCTACGGAAAGGAGGGACAAAAGTGACCCACCTTTTCTATATGGATGACCTCAAGTTATTCGCCTCCAGTCGCTCCCATTGCTTAACATGGAATTGCTAAACATCACTTGTGAATTTAGCAATTCCATTGGAATGGAGCTTGGGACGGATAAGTGTGCGGTCCTCAATGTTGAAAGGGGAAGGGTTGCTAACTCTGAGGGCGTAGACTTATCTATGCCCGTCAACTTAAGGACCCTTTCCGAGGCTGAGACATACCGATACCTGGGTATGTCACAAAACATCGGTATCGATGAGGCTGGTATGAAACAGTCAGTTTGCGACGTGTTTTATGCACGCTTGACCAAAGTGCTTAACAGCCTTTTGTCCGGTATGAATAAGGCACACGCATATAACGGCTGGGTTATGCCTGTCCTCATGTATACCTTTGGCATACTTAGGTGGACTCAGACTGAACTTAACGCCCTGGATAGAAAAGTCCGCACAACCATGACGTCCCGTAGAATGCATCATACGAGATCGTCGGTAATGAGGCTGTACTTGCCGCGGAAGCATGGTGGTCGTGGCTTCTTGAGCGCGCTCACCATGCATAATCGCGAAGTGTGCAGCCTCCGTGATTACTTCCTGGTGAGATCGGATGATCCATTCTATAAGGATGTCATTTCTTGTGATAAAGGACTTACCCCTCTATCCTTAGCCAACGAGCAATGGCAAGACCCGGCAGTGCAGAGCATTTCCGACCGGGAGACCGTATGGAAGGAGAAGGAGCTCCACGGGAGGTACTACAAGGCTCTACATGAGCCTTTCGTAGACACAGTAGCCTCCCTCCACTGGCTACGCTTTGGTGATCTCTTCGGGGGAAACCGAGGGTTTTGTCTGTGCAATACAGGATCAGGTTATTAAGACCAACAACTATCGGAGATACATCCTAAAGGATGGCACCGTCGACATCTGTCGAGCTTGTCGCCATCCCGGTGAGTCACTTAGGCATGTCATCTCCGGTTGTTCGGCGCTTTCTAACTCTGAGTACTTGCACAGGCACAACCTAGTAGCCAGAATTCTTCACCAGGAGCTCGCTCTGAAATACGGTCTCGTGGATCGGAAATTGCCGTATTACAAGTACTTGCCGGAAGCCGTGCTCGAAAATGATCGCGCCAGGCTCTATTGGGACCGGGCCATCATCACAGACAGGACTATTCTTGCGAATAAGCCTGATATTGTGCTGATGGACCGGGCACAGTCAAGGATATTTTTGGTCGACATTACCATTCCGTATGACGAGAACCTCGTGAAAGCCGAAACAGACAAGCAAACAAAATATCTGGACCTGGCTCACGAGGTGACCGACATGTGGGGTGGTCTGCCGACCGAAATTATTCCTGTAGTCGTCTCTGCAAACGGGCTAATCCCAGTCAGCCTCTCGGGTCATCTGAGGCGACTGGGACTACGTGGCGGACCGCTCCAGGCTCAAATGCAGAATGCGGTGCTCCTCGATACCGCCCGCATCGTCCGCCGGTTTCTTTCCCTTTCCCCCTAACCCTCGGCCGTTTGGTCTCCCCTGCCGAGGGCCTCCATCTGGTTGGGATTTTATTTATTTATGTATTTTTATATTTATTTTATGTTATTGATATCTATGTATATTTATCTTTTCATTTTAATTTATAATTATATATTTATAGAAACCAACCAGATGAGAAAACTATACAGATACCCCAAAAAAATAATAATAATAATATACCACAACTATCACACAACACCATCTAGTCCCAAGCTAAGCAGAGCTTGTGTTATGGGTACTAGACAACTGATAAACATACTTATACATAAATATTATAGATAAATTACACCCAGACACAGAACAAATGATCGTGCTCATCACACAAACATTTGTCCTGGGTGGGAATCGAACCCACGACCTCCGGCATAGCAGTCAGGGTCTCTAACCACTAGACCAACAGGCCTGTCGATCTTTTAAGTTTAATATTTTCCGTTTGAAATATTTATTTTGTTGGTCTTGTTTTTTTAATTTTCGCTTCTAAGTGCTTTGAGCATAATTTTGATATAGCAGATGGAAGCAAATTTTCTTCTCTGCGCTCTATTTGGACAAACCGTATCCACTTTTCACGCACTGCGGTATTAACTGACGAAAACCTAAAATTACCGGATACGTGCTTAATATTAATGTCCCCCAGACCGAATGTTGGCCACGGCCGCCTGCCTCAACGGAGGCTAGCCATCGGCGCAGGACAGGATTATAGTGCCCAAGTGTATGCCGCAAGCACATGTGCACTCTCTATTCCCTCACTCTCGTAATCCGATGGGACGGTAAACCGACACAACCGGAGAGAGATCAGGCGCAGGACCAACGGCTTTACGTGCTTTCCGAGGCACGCGGGTGAGACACCGCCAACTTTCTCTCACTCCGGACAGCTACTGAGAATTTCTTGACAGAAAAACTCAATAATTGATTTTTTGGCCCGACCCGGGATTCGAACCCAGGACCTCATGATCAGCAGTCGCACTACTACAACCACTAGATCAACGAAGCAGTACGTGCTTATACAAAAACCATAATTATAATGCCGGTTCATAGAACTCTGTAATCAAATTATTTTTAATAACATGATATGTTTGTAAGCAGTTTGTAAATTTTATGTTATTATGTCAATTTAATCGGATGCAATACTTATAGACACACATATATAAAAAACCGTCACTTTAAGTTTTTACCTTATTTCCTAACTCAGGCTTAACCTACAACTTCTTGCATCTTATATCTTTAACAGTGTAAATTGTTTTTAATGTAACAAAACTATAGCCCTCCCCTTATCAGTATAAGCCAGGATCTATAAGGCTCCGTCTTTGAAAACCACCAGACAATGAAGCCCGGTGTGTAAAAGCACAGCAAGTATCCTCCTCAGCATGCTCAAAAGCAACACAGAAAATTTCATCAGCATGCGTAAACAAACATTTTCCCACCCTTTCTCCACATAAAGTAAGCTACTTAGCATAGTTGGTATATTCTACTCATCTTTGTTAGTATGTGTACAGTATTGTTGACTGTTTCACCTCCTTAAATATTGTAGATGATTAAATCGGCATTCTGTATTTTTTTTTATCGATAACGCCAATCGTCAATCACGAACACATTTGTAAATAAATAGTGACACTACTGGAAAATAGAGGGCGCTTATGAAAAAATAATAAATGTTCTAGAAAAACCATATATTAAAATTAAAAGATTATTTTGTAAGCATACATTATAATTACGATAATAAACTGAAATCACATTAATTTTTTTGATCCATATCGTGACTTACAATATCTTAATGCACAACAGGGCATATTTTCTTTAAAAATAAAAATTTTTAAATTTACAAAACGACTGCGTCTTGACCTTTTGACCATGTAACTAAGACTAAATGACAAAAATCGGAGATATATCCTATAGGACAAAAGTTACAGACGACAATTTTGTTGCTGATGTCCGGTCTATTACTACTACTACTTAAATGTCTTTGTATGGTACCAAATGTGAGTCATTAAGATAGTATGGAGATGTAGTGAATAAAAACATCAATCTGTCATTTCACCATCCTAAAAATGACCAATGTCATATTTTTCATTCTTATAAACACAGTACAAGTATGCCTGAAATTAAAAAAAAAACTATGATAATCACATAAAAATCAAAAACTTGTCTAGATCTTTAAAACAGAAAGAAAACACGACTCACAAAATAATCCTAAAATATTTTGCGCTAAATTTGATTTGCAAAAAGTGTTGCTGGCTCCTAGTGGTGAGATTAGTCTATTTTATTATTGTAAACGATTAAAAGCTTATAATTTGTCAGTATTTGATATTGGAAATTTAGTAGGAACGAACAAATAGCTATGAAGGGATCAAACGAAATAGCTAGCTGTATTTATGACATAATAAGACTGAAAAGTATAGAAGGCTGTAAGGATTTTGGATTTTGGTCAGACAATTGCACTGGCCAAAATAGAAATAGGATAATGTTTTTATGTACTTTTATGCAGCTAAACAAGTTAATATCAATATTAATATTAAACATACTTTCCTTGAGAAAGGTCGTACCCAAAATGAGGGTGACTCCATACGTGCCACAATTGAGAAAGCTTCTAACCATAAGAATATTTATAGACCGTCTGAGAGGAGTTCACTAATTAAATGGGCTAAAGTAAAAGTCCTTAAAACGTCATAGATGTATCTCAAAACATGATTTACAACGTCAAAAAGATGCAGGAAAGTGCTTGTTTTAACTGGGCTAAAAACTCTGTAAGAGTGCTTTGGTCTAAAATAAAAAAATTCGTGTCAGTAAACATGAAACCTACGTTTTGTTTTACAAATTAGATCTTTCTGAATATGTAGTCGAAAGCCATATTAACATTTCCGATCTTTCTGTCAGAACAAGAAGAAAAATGGCTGAACGATCTACAGAAATACTCTTAAAGCCATGTTACAATCAGCTAAAACCAATACATTCATCCAAAAAGAAAGACTTAATTGATTTATGTTGCAAAAATATTATTCCACCAGTGTATCACGAGTATTATGAAAACTTGGTAACATCTAATGATAATATTACAATTAATGCGAGTGATGATGATGATATTGAGTAATTTTGTTCCGTCATTTTGAAAATGTTTATTTTTTGTCAGCCATTCTGTTATTATTTAGTTAAAACATTATAGTCAAATAATACATTACTTAAGTACATTAAATATTTTCCAATTATATTAAGTTTCGTGGATCTCGAGGTTTTTAGGTTACGAGTTTTGATTATATTATTATTATTTAGGAAAATAATAATTTGATAATTTTTCATTTGATTTCAAGTTAATTTGAAGTATGATAATATGCAATTTATAAAATTTTAGGAAGCTTATTACATTGTTTATTATATTTTGTTTTTTAGGTATATATTTTTAAAGCAGTTGTTTGTGCTTTGATTATGTGCTTACTACTCAATATAACAAATAAATCCTGGAAAGGAAAGTAAGTCTTCTTACTTAAAGTTTATTTAGAAGTTTTATGATTATTTTCTACTTTGCGGTATTACTAGGTTCAGCTAAATATACTTTTATTTTTATTATATGTTTTACCATACACAATACTTTTATAAATAAGTTATTAGCTTAAGTTTTTGTTTTGTCAGAACAGAATAAAACTTGAAAAAGATTAAGACGGGAAACCGCAAACAGATTGGATCATTATTAAAATTGATTACGTAAAAGTTAACAATATATAAACCAACCAACAGGAATGGAGACAAATGTCGAATTGGTCGCAGATTTACAACGCGGTCCACATCTGGCGTTCAAATTTATGACTTTCATTTGAGTCCGCTCCATAGTACTTCTAGATTAGATGAAACTTAATATATATATTTATAAAAAAATACTATCAAATATATATAAAATCCTCATATTTTTTATGACGTTGGAGGACTAAAAAACTTGTTATTTTTTTAAAATACAGACAAAACGAAGCAAACTTAAAACACGGGTATATGTAACAAATATAAACACAAGAAAAAAAATTAAAAATACAGCCTATATGCTTGTTTTATGTTTTATTGTATAATAATTTAAAACTATTCAGAATTTTTTGAAATTTAAGATTTTTAGAAACTTTATTTACAGAATTTTTCCATACAATAACCACCACACCTTAGACTGTAATCTACGTTGATTGTGTAGTTAAAATTTTCTTAGACGGACAAAACAACTTTTATGGTGCCTATAATTTATGAAAATAACATGTATTATTTCACTAATACACAGACTTTTGAAATTCATAATGCCAATGGCAAATTTAATCGCAAATCAAATTTTCAGAAAAAGATCGGAAAACGGAAAAGTCCGCAATACACAGTTTTGTGATTGATTGCACAATAGCTGGATGATCCCTATGGAGGTTATCTTGCATTAAATAAAATGTGTTTTAATTGTAATATCATAATTTAAAACACAAATTAAAGTTTTCTACACGTAATCATCCACCTTTTTATATAATCTTGAAATTAAATTACTTCTTATGAAAACAAAATACTACTCTACTTATAGCACGTCTTATGCTAGCTTTTTGTCCTTTATAACAAGCCCACAATTTATCTATCTTATTAATTTACCTTAATTTGGGAACAAAACCCTAGAAGAATATCCCCTTAAAATGAAGTAAGCTTGTTTTGTTTAGATCGGGCCAAAATTATTAATTGAAAGTTTAATTTTTCGATAGCTCTGACATTAGGACGTCTAACATCTCAATCCCTTTCGTGACCATGGGTGCTGTAAAGTACCTGAAACATCAGGAATTAAGGAAGTTAAAATTGAACGCGATAAAATTCCTAAAATTATAAGTTTTATTTCAAGAAATATTTATAAATGTAGACTTATAAAGGCTACTGATAAAAAACGTAGTGTTTTCTAACAATTAACCAATTTAATAAAAATAAATATCGGGTGCTACTAGCTGCGCTATTATGCGATATATTATTATAGTCACATTATTTTTCTTTTAAAAATAACAAACAATGTGTGATAAAGTATTTTAAACATAGAAAATAAATTTAAAGAAAATCTTTTGTAAACATTCCAACATTTGGTAGACTTGGAATTTTAATTTACTCGTAAAATGAAATATACTGCTACTAAACTCATTCATAATTTTCGCACCAAAATTGAAATTTCAATGTCTCAAAAATCGATAGATATATCACGAGTTAATAAATTGCGAAGCGTATGCCGCGGCAAGTTGTATGTTCATTTAATCTATTTAATTTTATAAGTCGAACTCGGATATTCGTATATTATTATTTATTTAGTGAAAAATTATTGGTATTTGAATCAACGTCTATAAAAATAATATAAATATGAATATTTTTACAAATAAAATGCCCTGAATCAATATATGAACAAAGGGTTTCGAAAATAATATTTTGATAATTTTAAAAATTATAAAATAAAATTACATCTTGATAATTTTAAAAATAAAAATATTGACACAAGCTATGTAGTAGCTTTATACACGAATTTACGCATGCTATTGATAAAAAAATAAAATAATTATGCAATAAAATTAAAATTATATAATAACAGACAAGAAGTTTTTAACGATGTTATCATATTATGTATGTCGGAGGAAGCAGTCTGAATCAAGTTGATTGCTGGTTTTCATCGCGTAATATCATTTGTTCTCTAAAAAATAATGCTTTGTTAAATAATTATTTTATTTTATTTGTTAGATTTTGTTATTGTGTAGAATCTTATTTAATCTCATTAAAGTTCCTGTATTGTACTTCATACATGTTACGACCAATCAGAGCAGAAGGTAAGCCTCGAGTGGGGTCGAGGCACCATTTTGACGATTACCGCACGAATATTTTTTTAGTGTTTTGTGGATCGTGGCGAAGATTCATTCCTTTTTTGGGGTTCATACGGTGAAGTCGTGAGATCGGTGTCGCGAACCTGCTGCTCGTACTTTGTTTATATTAAACGTTTTTAATTCAAAATAAGTGATTGCAAAGTAGTAATTCCTTTAGTGACTTTCAAAATTGTTAAAATTTAATTAAATTGTACAAATACAGTGAATACTTTGTTTTGTGCTCGTATTTAACCCTAATGACGCCCACTAGACCCGTGGTCACCGACGGCCATTTCGAAGAGAATTGTGTTTCTCCGACATCAGAAGTGGGATCGGTGCGGGCACAAAACGCAGATAGAAGGATCGAGGCGAACGACGGCTTACGCGCTTTATTTGAGGCGCAGCAAAATAACATGTGACTACCTGTGGAGGCGCTACGCAACCCGCCGGCTATCGAGGACAAGAATATTGGATTGCCTGAATTCCAACCCGAAAATGCAGACACTGATGCCCGAGCCTCGCTAGCAACTGCAGACATCTGTTGGCTGGATCGTAATATACAGGGAAGTAAACTTATTCTTATACTTAGTAAGTTCATGAAAGGATCAGCCGCAGCATGGTTGTCCCAAATAGCTTTTTCTAATATAAAGTGGGTAGAATTTAAAGATATTTTTCTTTTTCGTTCTGATACTTTAGAAACATGTGCAGCGATAATTTTAAAAATGTTCACTGGTAGACCGCAAGAAGGTGAATTTCTAGCTGCGTAAGCAAGTCGTTTATTTATCTCACTCATGTCACGATGGGGTAAATTAGACAATAAAGAAATGGTGGTATCTGTAATACTCGCTCACATGGGGAAAATCGAACCAAGGTTGCAACGAAATATTTTTTGTAAAGAAATAATCACCCGCAGTAAGATGCCACGTGAACTTATGGCATTTTCATATCGTAAGCGGAGTTATCCAGATATTATAAAGACCGGTGCAAATAATATGCAGGATATCAAACGTCCTAATTTAAGTGTTGCTTCTACAATATGTTACACTTGTGGAAAACTTGGCCATAGATCTTTTGAATGTTTCAGCCGTTCGCATGACAAACAGCAAACAGCTCGGACTTCCGATCGCCCCAACTCGACCGCGGCTATAACGAGGACCTCCGTGACATGCTACAGGTGTGGTGCTAAGGGTCAAGTGGCATCGCGATGCTCGAAAACGTGTCCAGTTGCAAACGGCAGCGCCCAGTCTGCCGCCACATCGAGCAGTAAAACGAGTGGACGTATGCGGTGTGAACCGGTCACCGGGGTGATCACTCAATTTGTTGAGCAGTTTTCATTTTGCTTTGATTCCGGTGCTGATTGTTCTCTAGTTAAAAAGAGTATCTCACTTAAACTTGATGGTGAAATACAACATGCAATTGTTACTCTGATAGGTGTAGGAAAATCTAGCGTATTGTGGTTTTATCTCTGGTTACTCTTTGTGGTCATGACGTACAAATTTTATTTCACGTACCTGATGATTTTCTGAGTAATAATATTCTAATTGGATGCGATTTATTGGCTTTAGCGTTTCCTGTACACATATCGAGTGACAAACTTACTATAATCGAAAAGTGTGTGTGTGTGTGCGTGTGTGTGTGTGTGTGTGTGTGTGTGTGTGTGTGTGTGTGTGTGTGTGTGTGTGTGTGTGTGTGTGTGCGCGCAGTGTGTGTGTGTTGTGTGTGTGTGTGTGTGTGTGTGTGTGTGTGTGTGTGTGTGTGTGTATGTGTTTGTGTGTGTGTGAGCACGCGCGTGTGTGTGTGTGTGCGTGTGGGTGTGTGTTTCTGTAAAGCGATTATTGTTCTTTTAAAAAACATCAAATTTGTATTTAACAACAAAACATAAATCATTAATTGCAAGATAGAATAATATTACCAGAAAGAAATATATGCATTGTATAAGCAGACAAAATTACATAATTGAATTTATTAAAAAAAGATAGCAGAAAGAGCTTAGCGTAAGATTAAATAATTATATAGTTTAAGTTATTATTACAAAAATTCACACATACAATTCGTAATATATAATAACACAAATAAAATATTAATAGATATTATATGAAATTAATGGCTTAAAATTTAAAATCTTAATTTGGTGAAACTTCCTCAATAATTTCAAAGGGTCAAGGTCAAGTCAAGTATTTTGTAATTTATCTCCTGTTTAATTTTTGTTATAACAAGGTCTCACTTTTTATTAGTTATGGAGTAAGTTTTCCTATCATATAACAATTTTCTTTGTAGTTTATTATCTAAGAAATTCTGTTGTATAATCTGACATGGCTTCTATGCGACCTTTTGATAGTAAAGTATTCTTTTTATTTTTGCTTCCGAAAGGGAGGGATTACAGTACTCTTTCCGAGAAGTTGTAGTATATGAGTTAAAATTATACGCATAAACCTAACGAAAGTGTAATTAAGTCACTCATGACGCAAATGAATGACATGATGGCAATTAAGCAATATAATTTACTCATTACCTTTGTATTTTGATATTAATGTAACTGGCTCTTATTCTGACATTCAATAAATGAACCAGAATCAATGAAGTATCTTTCATTCTCTACACCAATGACCCAAATATTACAGGTTGCCGATGTCCGTGGTTAGCATTAATATGTGTTTCCAATCGAATAGACCTCTAGTCTCCGTTGGGACTAGTTGTCATGACCCAAATTGGATCTGAAGGAAGTTATAAAAACGCCGAAAACGAAAGTAAATAGTTACGTACTTATATACTTAATACAAATATATAAGTACGTTACAATTTACTATATATAATATATATTCTTAATACTTATCTTAACCGATAATTACATTATATATACATAGGTACATGCATACATATTGTCACTGAAACGTTATAAATAAATTTATATGTATAAGGTACGAAAACGATTTTTCAAGGCAATGAAGAAACAAGAAAAAATTATTATAATAAATTTAAATTATCTTATAAAGCGAAAATTTTGTATTTCGTTTTTGAAGAAGTTATTCAAAAATTACATACTTTACCTGAAAATTCATTCGCTCACTTCCGAACATCTTCCTTCATTTGTTCAATTGTCAAAGTTAATTAAGGTGCAAAAAATATACATAAATAATTAAATATTTGACGACTGATGCTGACTGTGATAACACAAACTCTACTAATATGTTGATTTTCAAAATACCATAATCAATTTACATATTACTCTACTAACACTACTAATAGATAATTACTCCTTGGAGAAAGCGGGTTCAGCGACATACCGAGAGGTCGACACGGTACAACCAAAATCGTCTCACTCTGAGTGATCAGAAGATGTTTTATAAAACATTGGAACGACCAATGGTAAGTGGAACGGGCCCAATACCAAATCAGGCCAATACTGTCGTATTCTAGCGCAGCCTGTGGTCCGAGGCCGTAAACCACAGTGAGAGCCCTTGCACTTAAGCTACGTGGCGAGTCAGTGTATGAGTATTACGCCCATGGCCCCCGTCATCATAATTCCGGATAATGAACGTCGCTGAGGCGGCCGTAAAGACACCCGAACTTAAAAGTCCGGGAGTCGACGGGTCGCATCACTACTGTCTGAAGAGGTTCGTGGTGTGTCATGCTGTGCTCGCCCGACAGTTTCAAGAGGCTCCCACCTTAAAGTCTCTCTAACTACTGGGATCACTCATTTGGTCCCTAAGGACCAGCGTACCACAAACCCGAGCAAATACCGCCTCATCACGTGTCTACCGACCATATACACCAGTATCCATTTTGAGCGCGAGAAACACTCTTACCCTGGACTCAAATCAGGTGATGTCGCGCGCTTAAAATGAATATCGGGGCGGTGGTCGTGGAACCAAGTAAGCACTCCTCATTAACGCGGTCATTCGGAAAGTGGTGAAATGCAACCGTTAGAACTTCTCCATCGCCTGAATAAACTACAGAAAGGCATTCGACTTGATTCCCCATACATGGCTAAAGAGGGTCCTCGAGCTGTACAGTATTGACTGTAAAATAAGATACTTTCTCAAGCAGTGTATGATGACGGCTGCGGAAAACAGCATAAGGATAAGAAGGAGTATCTTACAGGGCGATTGTCAGAATCCAATCTGATTCTGTCTCTTTTTGACCTTCTCAGTACTTTACTGGAGGACTTTGTGAGACGATATCAGCTTCGGAAAGGAGATACAAAAGTGACCTATCTTTTCTATATGGATGACCTCAAGTTATTCGCATTCAGTCGCTTCCCATCTTATCGAATTGCTTAACATCACTTGTGATTTTAGCAATTCTATTAGAATGGAGTTGGGAACGGATAAGTGTGCAGTCCTCTATGTTGAAAAGGGATGGGTTGCTAACTCTGAGGGCATTGATTTATCTATGTCCGTCAACTTGAAGACCGTTTCCGAGGCTGAAACATACCGATACCTGGGTATGTCACATAACATCGGTATCGATGAGGCTGGTATGAAACAGTCAGTTTGCGACATGTTTTATGCACGCTTGACCGAAGTGCTTAACAGCCTTTTGTCCCGTGTGAATAAGACACGTGCATATAACGGTTGGGTCATGCCTGTCCACATGTATACCTTTGACATACTCAGGTGGTCTCAGACTGAACTTAACGTCCTGGATAGAAAAGTCCGCACTATCAAGACGGTTTTGTACCTCTTGCTGTGTTCTAACAGCACCTGTAAATTTATTTAGTAACTAGCGTTGTCTCCTTAAATATCTTTTATTTTTTTAATGTAGATGGCAGAGTTTATTTTCCTGTTTTTGGTTTTGAGGTCTAAAATAGTATACATCTAATCATCTCTGCTTGTTGTTGTTATTGTGACAACTACTGGTCTGACTTTTCCTGATTTTTTCCCATCTTATTAACGTGTCCGATTTCTCATTTCTGGCAAGGTATTTCCATCGCGTTGTTAATGATATCCAAAACTATGGAGAGTAAACTTTCATACTCCTTTTCTTTTTATTCGATCTTAAAAATATAATGTTTTTTCTTCTTAGCTTATCCACCTTATTATACGGTTTTTTGTTGTTGTTTAATTTTCGTTTCTGTTTTATTTTCAAAAATAAGAAATTTTTCGTCTATGTTATTATTTACAGATTCTTTGATATTTAGCTCCATCTCTTTCATTTCTTACTTGTTTTTCGATATCTTGTCTTGTATATTTGTTTTATTTTTTACGACATCATCCATTGTAAACGTAAGAATCACGCCCTCTATTGAAATTGCAACAAAATGTTTGTTATTAATTGCTTGCGCTTACGCAGGGTTTGAATCGTACTGTGTAGATATTTTTGTTTCTTGCCGATAGATGGCGCTATTATGAGTATTTTAATTGCAATGATTTTGAATTTTTTCCTGAGAGTAATTTGAGGTTATAACATAAACAAGAAT